GGGGGGGGGGAAAACACCATCTGCCCCCTCCCCCTCCTTGCTGCCTCTGATACAAAGACAGCAAGGGGGTGTGGGAAACATGTAGTTGACAGGTTTAATCAATAAGCCTGGGCTTATCAGTTAATCATGTAGTCATCTACACACTGACATCCTTAACTTGAAACAATACCTTTAATTTCAGATCTACTTTAATTGCTGTATCTGTTATAGCCTTGAGAGATTTGTAGTTGCAAATCCCTTGTGCCTTCATTGTCCTCATATGCTCAGGAGCTGGACAGGACTAAATCCCCCATAATGTATTAGGATAGCTCAGCAACAGGAAGAGACCATGGTGCATCATGGGACTTCCCTGGAGAGAAAGAGATGGAGGAGAGATCAGGAGGAATGCAGAACTACACTACCTATGAAGTACCATTGCATCTCAGGCAGGCACAGAGATTAATGTCAACTAAAACCCAAATATTTTAATTTGGGTCAACTTGAAATAAAATGTTTTGTTCAAATTTTCCAAAGAAAAAGTTCTGCCAAAATGGATTTTGTAGAAAGTTTCAATTCAACCTGGCTAGTTTCTATTTAAAATTCTGAAGAATAGCAACTGAAGACTGGGTCTAAACCAATAACTCTCACTCACCACTTTTTAAATACAATAAAGTGAGTGAGTATGAACCAAAAAAAACCAAAACCACTTTCACTTTTATAAGTTGATATTGTATGGCGTTGAAGGTTCTCAATTTTCATTTACAGTTGAAGGCTCTCAGAGCTTTGGGCTCTTTGACCCTCTACCTGAAACTGGATCACTGTGAATGCAGGGGTCTGCCCTTGTGAAGCAGCTTGTAAAATTGGGGACTTTGGCCAGAGTTGGGCCTAATTTTCAAAGGTGCAGATAATCCACAAATTACACACCACTGACTTTACCAGGAGTCTGGGGTTGGGCACCCAGAAGCAGAGGCCACTTTTGAAAATGTTTGCCTTGAGGTACAACTGTATTTTACTGCCCCATCTTTCTTTTCCCAGCTGATGGCTGGGGCTGTGACAATATCTATGGGAGAAGCCATGAAATACAAGGATCCTGATTCTCTTACCTCCTGAGGTAGATCAGGAGTAACTCCACTGAAGTCCATAGACTTTCACTAGTTTTACACATGTGAGAGCACAATCAGCCATTCCATACACTTAATCATTTGTTTTCCTCCTTTTCTGAATCTTTTCCTATTCCAGTAGATCTGAAGATGAGGCGACCACAGCTGCATACACTATTCAAGATGGATTTATATAGAAGAAAAAAGATTTTTCTGTCTTATTATGTATCCCTTTCTTAATGATTCCCAACCTTCTGCTTGCTTTGACTGCCACTGCACACTGAGTGAATGTTTTCAGAGAACTATCCATAATGACTCCAAGATCTCTCGAGTGGTAACAGCTAATTTAGACCCTATCATTTTGTATGTATAATTGGAATGTTTTCCAATATGCATTACTTTACGTTTATCAACAGTGACTTTCATCTGCTATTTTGTTGCCCAGTCACCCAATTTTGAGAGATCCTTTTGAAGCTCTTTGCAGTCTGCTGTGGACTCAACTATCTTGAGCAATTTTAGATCATTTGCAAATTTTGCCACTTCACTTTCTGCAGATCATTTATGAATATGTTGAATAGGATTGGTCCCAGTACAAAGCCCAAAGGGAAAGCACTAGTTATCTATCTCCATTCTGAAAACTGACCATTTATTTCTACCCATTATTTACTATCTTTTAGCCAGTTACCAAGAGGACCTGTCCTCTTATCCCCATGACGGCTTACTTAAAAGAGTCTTTGATGAGGGACTCTAAGTACACTATATCCACTGGATCCCCCTGGTCCACAAGCTTTCCAGCCCCTTGCCCTCCAAAGTTCTAGCAGATTGAGGCATGATTTTCCTTTACAAAAATCCATGTTGAATCTTCCCTCAATGAATTATGTTAATCTATGAGCCTGAGAATTCTGTTCTTTGGTTGAAACTATAGCAGTTTGCCCAGTACTGAAGTTAGATTTCCTAACCTGTAATTGCCAGGATCACCTCTGGCGAGCAGCTGGATGCCATTGTAGAGCGGGGTACTACTACCTCACTTCCAGGAACCACTCTGTACCTTACTGGGAGTCCCCGGCTTCTGTCCTCATTCCTGAGGTAGAAGCGTGAGGCTCTCACAAGTGTGCATCCCACAAAAAGTGTGATTGTCTTCATGTACGTTAATGGGTGTTACACGCACAATTATGACCACCAGAACAGCTCTTATTTAAATGACATCTGTGAAGAAGTGGATTTTTAATATTCATTTAGTGCTCCAACCTGCAAAAGAGAGCTGTGTGATTCTGAACACCTTTAATTGCCACTGACACGTAAGGGAAGGGAGGGCACTCCTTAAACAGAAGTTATGAGTCCAATGCAGAATTTACTGGGTGAAACTCTGTGGCCTCAATTTTGCAGGAGGTCAGACTAGATGACAACCATGGTCTCTCTGGTCTTAAAAAATCCATATCTTGTAGAACTGGGCCCTTTGGAGTTAAAATTGATATTTCCTAAATTAGCTCCAAATTATTCCTTTGAGGTCAGAGAAGTACATCACTTGGAAGTTTAAAGACTTTTATCATCCATCCATATTATTTTGACTTTTGCTAAAATATAGCCCCTGACATGAAATGAGTAGTTACAAGTGGATTACTTGATATGTGACCGACTGTAATGGACTACTGTACTCCTTGAACACCAAACCACAAGTAATGTAATTATATTACCTATTTAAGATAACCAACTGAGATGTAACGGCATCTCAGACACTGTCCTGTGTATAGTGCAAGCACATTGAGATCATGTAGGCCCTGATCCTGCAACAAGCTCAGTGCAGTCAGACCCCTTGCATCCACACAAAGCCCCAATGAAATCAGGGGGAATAAGTACAAGTGCAGGAATTTATCCATGCCAGTCTGATGCGAGTGGGAGTGTTTTGTCTTATTTCAAAGGGCATTGTTGAGGCCTTAAATATCCTTGTGAAAAAAGTTATAACTGCATTTCTCATACTTAGCTCTTTCTTCATATGACTTAGTGATTTTTGAAGTGGTTAGATTTCTCCAGGTATTTACAGCTTGCCAAATTATTTCCCCCAAACTTCTTTAAAATGTCCAAACAATTTTTATAAGTGAGTGCAAAAGAATGCTAAACTAATATATTTAAAACTTGTTGACACTGAAATCAAACTAATTTAAAAATATTATAAAAAGTCATAGGACTTAGCATTCCTACTCTGAGACTCAGGATAGGAAAAGTATTTTTATGATAGAAGTGTGTGAAGAAACCTTAACTATATGGCCGAAACAGTCATTTTAACAACCCTGTTTATTTCTGTTGCATTAGTCTTGTAATAAAAGTTAAAATGACCCATCAGTATATTATGAAAAAACAAATCCTTTTGGATATAGATACAACATTCTTATACATTACTTTTTTTTACTAGGATGTCCAATTATATTTATGTGAACTCAATCCTCCGTTCAAAAATCTCCCCAACAGACCAGCCACTTAACTAAACCTCTTATAAATAGCAATTTGGCTTATACTCAAAGACTTCATTTTCTATCATGCTACATCAAGGCACAAGTTAATACACATGCTTTGTGTTAAGATAACATGATATTTTTTACTGTTTTGTTGCTTTCCCAAGTGCTTTGACTGGACTGTTCATGCTGTATTTTAACAGGTGGGTTGGCTGGCTAGCTACTGGGCTGTAAACGACCAACTGGAATCTACACTGAATAGTACTTAACTGAATGCTCATAAAGTTCATGGACAACAAACCGACTCAGAAGCACATACACAGAGATGAATACAGAAACAGAATATACATCGCTAGTCTGCCTCTCCCCTTCCCACTGTCCAAGGCTAATTCAAGATTTAGTTTTCTATCACATTCATAGAAAAAAACCCACATTCTTATTATATGCTGCTCCTGAGAAGTGAATGTGGGATGAACACACAATGAATGCTCATGCAGAGACATATATACATATAATGATCTCCTATTTAAAAGGATAGTGAAACTTCTTGTAAACAAAAAACTACACAAGAATTCTAAAATTCAACCACTGTGCATATATATCACATAGGATGTTATGAGCTCAGAAACACTGTAGACCCACAAAAAACAAACTAAAGTCCATGGTGTGTCTATTGTAGCCATATTTTTTCTATACACAAACTGCATTTGTACTTCTCCCCAAACTAGAGGGAGAAAAATATGCAAGTATGAGTTAAGGTTTAGTCTCATGAGGCATCCCTAATTTGTGTTAAAATGCTCAAGGGTTAAACCTTCAAATGTTGCCATAGATTAAGTTTTATTTATACATTTCAACAGCTTAAATATGTCAAAGGAGTAGCCTTGTTTGTTGTTTTTTCAATTACAGACTAATAGTTCTGCAAAACCTTAGAGACTAACGAAAAAAATGTAGACAGTATCATGAGCTTTTGTGGGCACAAGCCACTTCTTCACAGCATATGATTCAGTGTGTGCCTCTAACATATATCTGCTCCACAATTGTTTGTTTAAATTGTTTCCTTGACTGTTTTTGTTGTTTTAACTGCAAGTCATAGACTGTAAACCTAGTAATTACCTCGGAGATTCGGACATCATTACAGACACGAAACATGAACCACCTACGTTTGAGTTACCCGTGGGCAAAGGGGCAGCTAAGAAAACAAACAGCTAATTGTTGGTTTAGAGATGGACTGTTCAAAGACAGAGACCCCCCAACAACCCTTTTCAAGTATTATCATTTTAACCACTCCGCGGCTGGCATTGCCACTGCCCACCAAGTTTCCGTGCCCACCCCCCCTCCTTTGGCAGGGGCGAGGTCCCTCATCCTCTGGGGATTTATGATGGAAACTGCTGATGCTACAGACAGACAGACAGACGCAGACACTCCGAGAGAGCCCGGGTGGGAGCGGAGCTCGCCGCACGCAGACACTCACCCTCCTTCTGTAGCACCGGGTTGCTTTACACGCCCCTGTTAGTCCTCCTGGCTTTTCCAACTTCTCAGGCGGCGGCGGCGTTCCTGGCTGGGGCGGCAGGGAAAGTGCAGAGGCGCATGGCTGCGAGGCAGGGCTCCGAGGGCTGAAGGACACGGCTCCGGGACCCGACCCCCCCCGCGCCCCCCCC